TAATCAGGAAATTAACACAAAATTCATGGAGTATTTAATAAATTAGAAATTTTTCTATTTATGGTATTGTAAAATCAAAACTTTAGAAAGCCAAAGTTAATACGAAATAATTAATATAAAAGTTAAAAAGAAATAGCATACCAAATTTGTGCGGCTCATAACTTTTTCTTTAGAAATGCTCGAGTCAGTAGCTGTACATACTTCTGTATTTTTGTATTTGTATATAATATACATATATATATATATGCATATATGTTGTCGTCTTCTGTCTACAAGTCGCGAGGTGATACGAAGCTCCGCGATATTTTAATTAATCATAGCATTCAGTGCTGGATAAAGCGAGTCGATCTCCGTAGTCGTTAAACTCGGAGACGTGAAAGTGACTGCTATTTTTGTGCCATGGAAGCAACCTAACAATTTTACTAAACCAAATTAATAAAATATTTACACTTCTGGTTCATTATAAAAAAATAAGTGCGCCTCGTCACCATGAATATAGAAAATAAACAACAGAACGAATCGGGCATCGATTTGGGTTTCGATTTGACCGCATTAATTTCTAATGATTTCGATCTTGAAAGTGCTATTGACTTTGAAGATTTATTAGGTACACCAAAAAATCAAGAATTCTATGAACTAACATCGAAAGCTGTAGATCCCACAAACAGGTAAGTTGCCTATCCTATATGATCTACGCTTGATAAGAAAGGATTTTTGTTTTGGTTCCATCTGGATTTGCGCACGTGATAAAACTAATCATGCCATCAACGCGGGAAAACAAATTAAAATGACCGAAGCAAGGATATCTGTATCACTCTTCTAAACCTTCCACTTATATTAATTAATAAAGATAATGTTGCGCAAACTTTTTTACATCTTATAACAAATGGTTCAAGTGTTTTTCATGAGAATTCTAAAAGAAATTAAATAAGAACTGACTAGACTTTCCACGTATTTACATATACTGCCGGCTACCAAATAGAAGGGCAAAGGTCACCATATCAAAATATGTACTTAGGAACCCATTTAACTGAAGTACCTCATGATTCAAAGTGATAAATAATTCAGATAATTAAGTACATCCAATACTTAATAAGTTAAATTTCAAGCAATACTTCAGTAACAAGCTTTGATACTCGATATGGTACTAAAATAAAGGCTGAACATTGCTAATGCCATGATTAAGAACATCAAACTATTAACTAGAGACAGAATAAATATACATAAGTTGATATAAGCTTTCAATAGCGCAATGAAAAGAAAATAACCGCAAATAGTACTAGGAATAATAATTCATCTTCATGTAGTGTGCAGATGTTATAAATTTATAAACACCAACTTCTCTTTTGTTGTGTTATTAACGATTTATTTAAGATAACATATGAGTTCCGCTTCTACTTTCTCTAATTCTTGCAATGGGTTAAATTGCTAGTTTCTTTTCGTTAAGCAACAGTGGAAGGAATTTGCTGTATGTATAATTCCTGCGTTTCAAAGTTGCCATCAGTTTTTAACTTTTTTAAACCCCTAAAATTTTTTTTATTATAATTGTTCCGCATCATTTTATAGTGAAACTATTATATGTACCTAGCATAATAAAAATTTCATTTTTTAAATAATGAGCAAATAAACTTAAATAATAATAGAAATGTAGAAACTACGTATCTGGTGAAATTAAGATTTTGGTTGTATTAAACAGGATTTATATCTTGTTTGTAGTTTGTCTTCTGTTAACCCAGTATTCAATAACGGATTCTTTTTCTGTTGCTATTTTCGATAGATAAGATGTCTTGGATAAATAATACATAGGTTCAAAAATATGAATTTGAATATCCTTGAGCGTAAATAACAGTTTATTTTGACTATACTCACAGTAACTACTAATCACTGTAGAAGGTTACTATGATATCTGTCTACTGGTACTGTGTTACAATTTTTTTTCCAACATTGGCCGAAGAAACAGTACTTCTATTCGTACGTTTGATTACTTTGTTTCATTAATAGATTTAATCATATAAACAATTAACAATTTAAGTTCTACGAAACTATCAAACGTAGATCGCTATTTGGATCTTATTAGATATCATCAGCACATCATGCAATTTTTCTTATGCATCAGTTAGTAAAAGATGCGGTACTTATTATAATGTATTACAATTAAATTTCAATTGTCTTTTCGATACCGATGGTAAAAATAGCAATAATTTATTGGCTCTTCGATTCGCTAAACACACCGGTTGAATAATAACGGCCAAAATTTTTGCAATTATTTGTGGAATGGTTCAAAAATAGCGCGGAGACCTTCAAATACTGTCATGGGCGAAACCACTGGTTGGCGAGGCAGTTCGACGTAAAAGTTCGCGAGATAGTGTTGCCCTTAGTCGTTAAGTTTAAGGTGCGTCTAATGCCAAAAACTCTCAGTACAGAGACCCAAGTGTTTGAATTTCAAAAAATTGCCGACACCATAGGGATAATGATAAACAGTGTCGGAAAACCCTCTACGTACAACCAAATGAAAAACGTTCGCGTTAATCTAGGTATCGATGAAGATTTACAGATGATACTAGAAATGGATCCTAGTATTATCGATCTTGGTGCCGCCACAGTTGAAGACTACCCTATTCCTAAAGCTCCCGATAAAGTTACCGGACTTCCCCCGAAATCTGGCGGGTACGTCATAAATGTGCGGATTTGTTAACCCAAAAAAACAAAAAAAACAACATTTACCGGCAACGACATTGCCAAAAACACTTAAATACATCCTGAGTTAATAAATTACGTACGTAATAAAAATATATTTCATTTGTTTACAACATCCTGTTTTTTATTTTATAAACTTAGCACCGAATTGAATACATACTTATTTATCTTTAGCGCCTGTTTTATAAGTGGTAGAGATAATTGTTACATCTGTACTGTATACTGTCACAATTTCGTCTCCTGGTCACAGGAAATGCGAAGTAAAAAGTGTTGAATCTCAATTTCTCCAAATTTTCTCGTTCTTTACCAAAATGAGAACTAAACGAAAGCCCGTTTCTTGCGTTAAATCTATTCTTAAACGATTACCTACAGTCTCAGAAATCGTAAAGATTAGACGTGTGAATCGAGATTAAGAAGGTTTAACAGAGTAATGCAAATTTTCCAAGTATAAAGTAAAAAAGGAAAATCTGGAAAGCCTTTTATAGATGGCGTAATTTTTTTATAATTTGAATATGATTATTTTCGTTGGGCATAAATTTCTTATAAGCTGTTTCAATATTATAGTCCTCCTACCCTAAAGACATCAACGCCGCTATCTCGCACGCAGTTAAAGCTCCAGTTGATGCGAGAGCAAGCCCTGCAGGAACAAGAAAGACGTGAAGCCCAAGATAGAGCGCAAAAAGCGGCTCAGGAACAGCAAAGGCCTCCTGCAGCCGCAGTTAAAGTTCCACTGCATAGCATTGCTCTCGATGTACCACCACAAGTATTTCAGGTAAATAAATACATCATTTACCACATCATCAATATCAACATCTTACTAGATCAATGGGTACAAATTCTCACTAGACAGTAAAACATCAGCAAAACGCATCTGCTTTCATATAAAAAAAGAACGAAATTTGGATTTAAAACTCCGATGTCCTATTGGCAGATTAATGTCTTTAGAGTCGGTTAGCAATAAATAAAATATTCATAACGGTAAAAAGTAGTTAAATATTAATACGTATCGAATATTTAAGATGAAAAAGTAAGTAGATGTTTAAGAAGAATGCGAAGGGAATTATATATACTCATATAAGTTAACAAGGATAATAGGTGATAGACCAAAAACCGGACATTATTTGCGATAGCTGTGAAGCTCGGGAAAATGATCAGGTCCGGATTAATTAAAGCGCTAATGAAGTTACTTCAAATAGAAATTGAAAATTTTTATTTATTTTGTATTCTTTTATTTAACCACAACAAGAACCTCGTTAACTGCACAATATTTACTGACAATTAAATTTATCTTGTGCATGTCTTTGATCTTCCGATTGCAATAAATGCTTTTTAAAATTTTAAATTCTATTTAGTTTTGTAATTTAGCAATAGTCGATAGATAGGAAGTACTTTGCTTTTTAAAAGATATTAGTTTGTTTAATCAGTTTAATTAAATTGATTAACTCAATAACAACACTCCTAGAATTCATAATTAACAACCCATATTATGATAGATACTTCTTAAATGATAAGAAGCTAAAGCGGATGCCAATTAATGTTATTTAAGGAATATAAAATCTCGGCTATTTTATATCAAGTTCAAAATAAAAAGAAAAAACTCACCAACATATCATCTTTGTCCTTATTAATTGTTAATTACACCAGAAGAATTTACCAATGCGCTGTTTTCACAATACCATTTATCTGCAAAAGGAAATAAAAAAATTTTTTAATGCGTCTTCACATCGTCATACACAAATGTACTATATCTAGTTTATTGTATTTCAGGTCCAAACAAAACTCGAAAATCCTACTAGATATCATGTTATGCAAAAGCAAAAAAGTCAAGTAAGACAATATATAAGCGAGTCATTTCAACAACCGCAGAATTTTTTTAACACCCAATGTCCGCCTCAAGTAACGGGTAGTGCACCGATTATTCCTAACAATTATACGAACAATACGCCACTTTCACCTATCACAGTACCCCCGACTTATTGTCAGAGTCATCCAGTTTATGGTAATGGACCTTCACCAAGTCCCAGCAGCGACGTCACTGCCGTTTCGCCCGCTTTTAGTTCCGGGGCTACCAGTGCTTCCGAGGTAAGTTTACTGCCTTTTTTTTTTTTAACAGAATTATTAAAACACGCTAAACAATTTTACTATCGGTATTCCTTTCACTAACTTTGACCCTTTGTCTTTTTTTTTTTTTTAATTATTATTACGAATCGCAAATAAGCAAAGTCGTACATTAAAGTGAATGTATTAATAAATATATGTATATATATTTAAAATATGCCATCGTAATGGGAAATACGGTTTTACCGAACCGTACCTGTTCAATTCAGTCATCGATCTAATAAACCATTATCGCCACGAATCCNAATTTTACTATCGGTATTCCTTTCACTAACTTTGACCCTTTGTCTTTTTTTTTTTTTTAATTATTATTACGAATCGCAAATAAGCAAAGTCGTACATTAAAGTGAATGTATTAATAAATATATGTATATATATGTATATAATCTTTTTAAAGCAAAGTTGGCTCATTTTCAAAACTAATGTAAGCTAAGTATGACAAACCAAAATTACAATATTTCCGTATTTAGAACGACCAATTTTTTACACTTACAATTATGTGAATGGAAAATTCTATGTTGTAAACTTGTTTCCATATTACAATAACCGTAATTCGTCTATTTGTATGTTATAGTGTTATATCAAAATGATTTCATAGGTTTTGTTTATTATTTAATTATATGGTGATATTTAAATAGGTGTACGTATAAATACACTTACAGGTGTTTAATACATGTAAAAATCACCGAATAAAACCATTTATCGCTGATGCAATTGCTAATCTAAATAAGAGGCAATAAGAAGCTTAATTTCATAGGTAGAAAACATTTATAATAATTAAACTAGGGTGTTTTAACAGATAACAAAGAATCTTGAAACAAAAAAAGGAATTCATTACTCAACGCGATTGTAGCAACGTGAAACTCAGCATTTTATAAATTATTATTTATTATGGAATAATGACGAAAAGCAAATGGATACACATTCTTATCGCATTTATTTACAGAGATCCAACGTTTTAAAAACAATTCGCATTATATATACATATATATGTACATATGTTTATCGCTACAGTTGAACGTCTTTGACAATTTTTAAACACCGAATATTTAACTTTTCGTACAGCAAAATGTTAATTCGGTAAATGAAAAATTCAATAAGTATTTATTGCTTTTTAACATCTAGTTGAAATTATTCGAATTTTTAATTGGTTTAACAAGTTTTCGGATAATCTTCTGCATAAAAATTCTGAGGTTGATGGTCAGAGTTTAGTATTATTTTGATAATTTGTGTTGCATTAATAAAAGTGAAATTAAACTTTAATTGAGATGTCGTACCTTGTTGGATGTACAAACAGGCAACCAACTATACTCATCTGCGGCAGCGTACATAATATTATGTTAACGAAATTGTTTTGAAGTATACTGTGGTACATAACCGCAGTAGACATTTTTAAACAAATATTTACTAACACGCACTTTGGATGACGCACTGTGAGATATGATAGATTACTTTTATAAAATTCGCTGATCGTGAAACACAACTTAATTTAAATATATATTTTTTTAATTATTTTTAATAACCCTTTATATATATGTAGGTATATATACACACAGTAAGTGTACGATTGTGTATACAAATAAATAAAAAATTGCCGTTATCGATTATTAAATGTAAAAAATTATTTAGTATTGCGTAAAAATTCTACTAGTCATTTCGTTTAGTTAAAGTATGATGTACAATATTTTATTACTAATAAATAAAAAACGGGCCCAATTATACATGAATAAACATATCTACATGATTTTCATTTTTCTTTCCTATTTCCAATTTTTAATATTAATTTGCCTTACCTGTATAAGCAACCTGATATACAGGTCAGGCAAAAAGTTCACTGGACATAGAAATTTCATATTTCTTCGACGGCATTTTTTCTTTTATTGTCAAAATGCATAATTTGGTGAATGTGTGGAATATATTTTTTCAACCACATCTATTTAAAAATATCTCCTACTTCACTAAAAAGTATCTTAAACTAATTGAACTCTCAAAATCGATCGCTAAAATCCTTTAAATTGCATTTATTGGACTTTATAAAATAGGTACATAGGTACTAGAATTCAGGTATCGGAACTAAAACAGACAAAAATCAGTAAGACTGCAACTTAGAATAAACGGAGTTTGATTACATTAGTTGTTTAAATATTTGGATGTTGCATTAGAATGTTCTTGAAGCTATTTACACTTTTAAATTAAATATGGCACACGTCAAGTATTGTATTTACATAAGCAATACAATTCATTAGAGACTACTGTTTTTTCTCTTGTTTTTCATTTAAAATTCTTTTTAGAAGTCAATATAAACTTTGGGGACAATCAAAAACTGCGAGATACGCACTGTTACAATTTTCGGATTGTTTTATGTAATCCTTTTTTTTTTTAAGAAAACGAGGATCTAAAGAATTTTGCACAGAATATTGAATTTATATGATATTCAGTACATAGTAATACATATTTTAAATTACTGTTGTTGAATTGTTCAACAGTGTACTTACTCTTAACGAAAGTTCTGCTAATGGGTCCATAAACTCACATTTTATTGCTTTTACACTAAATTTCTTACAGGTTTATCAACATTTACTATATTATGTTATAAATCAATATAATAATATTCTCTGTGCAAATATTTTTTGTATAAAATTTACGTAAATGCAGGAAGTATACTATAAATTACAATAAAAAATTCAGAAACCGAAAAAATTTAGATCATCAATTGTTAGAACAAGATAACCAGTACACTCTTTTGATTTCTTTAAAACACTGCAACTCGTGTTTAAAAAATATATTAGGCAGATACAGATATTTTCCTACAGTTTACTTATTTCACGTTGTATTTGTTGTGTTTCTTTATTTTAAGTTGATGGATTATTTTATCATAATATTTTAAACATTTTCCTAGAAAAAGTGAAATATTCTTATCTTTTATTTAAATTGGTTTCGCGTGAGGCAGAAATTCGACCAGTTTGGTTTCGGATCAAATGAATAATATACAGATGAGTTATTAACTTATTTTAAAGTTTAGTTAGATAAGAAAATATTGTACTGTAACAAAATTTAGAAATGTGTGTTTAAAATTTGAAACTGGTAATTACACTGTTTTAATTAGTAGGTACTACTGATTTATAGTCTATATCATAAGCTACCTCGGTTTTTAACTTGCAAGCTTAAATATCTTTACTGTTCAAGTCTATTACATATTTAAGCAGTACAATGAAGATAATAGGTTGTAGTACAGAAGGAATAAGTATTATTTATTGTAACGAGTAGTAGTTCTTTTTGAGTCGACGCAGACAAATTAAGTTCAAGTCATTTACTTTATTAACATTGACCTATTAAATCAACTTGCTAAGCTGTACTTGTATTACAGCAAAGTTCTTTGATTTACTGGTTGTATTTTGCTTCGAGGCATACTGTTGTTGTCGTAACTTTCAGAATAACTAATTAATAAGAATTATTTATCTCACTCTGAGATACAGGGTGTCTCCAGTTACATAAAATGACGACTGGTGAAAGTGAAATAAAATACAAAAGCGTTTTCTCCGATTGAAACTATTACAAAGAAAGATTTGCACCTATGTAATAAAATGTATGCAGCAGTACATTTGGTAGTTGAATAAAATTAACAATTAATTATCGTATTATGTATATTTTTAGAGAGGCTTCACCGCCTTTGATTTTTTTCTTTTTGAAGCTTTATATTTGTAATAAGCTTTTTGAATTTTAATTGAATATGTACCTAGTTATTGTTTACTGATTTGTATTGAAGGTGCTTGCGATTCCTTAGAAATTCTGCAATAGTAGGTTAATCAGTTAACGTAATGACCTTTTACTATTCCTTAGAAAGCCGAAATGTATAAAAAAAATCGGTCGACGATTAAAGCTAATTACGTTTATACATTTATTAAGATGATTTGAAATAGTTAATGATCTTGCACAAAAGGAGAATACTTTGCGCCGCTGTATTTAAAAAGGATCTGAAGTGTTGATTTATGGACGGCTTGCAAAATATTAATTATACACACACAAAAAGCTTAGAAAGGAAAGCAGAAGAAAAAAATCTTTGTACATATAGAATGTCTCATTTTTTTTTTTCGCATTCATTTACATTTGTGTTATATGGAATACAAATTTGCATTACCATCAATTGAATGACTTTTTTTAAGTTCAAATGGTTATTTAAGTTTGTCCGCTTGTACAGGCTGAACGGGTATCTAGGATGTTGTCATGAGTGATTTAGGATACTCTTTCAGATTGTTTCATATGGACGAAGTCTGATGTTATTGCTTTGATAAATAATAGCTCATTTTGTAAGAATTGAAAACAAAAAAACTGGTGATTTATTTAAAACTACTCCTATTGTAGCTAAATTTTTCATAACTTTTATCCTAAAAGTACGCAAATTAATTTAAACGTATTATTTGACTGTCACTAATCATTCTTCATGTATTATCCTGGCTGATACTTTAAATCCTTGGCGTCACTGGTTTTGAATGGTTTGTTTGCTAATTTCTCTTGATACGCGAGTTGTAACTCTGTATGACAGGACGATTTGATCTATTATGTATCTCGAAAAAGTCACCTGTACGTGTGTGTTTGTGTCTGTGTATGTATGTGTGGTTTTTGTGGCGCACGACTCATAATCTAAAACATTAACTTACTTGCCTCCTTCCTTGCTTGCTTGCAAGCGTGCAATCGAAACTCGGTCCTCGATTAAACTCGCGGGTACGATAGACAGTCGCCGGCAAACTTTTCCGCGGGTAGTAGTTTACTTACTTACTACATTGTTGTAGTCTTTTGCCGCACATTTTGACACGAGTGCTAAGTCACAGTTTTATTCTGGCGCCAGCAGTGCCTCTACCAAATAAACCGCGGATTTTTCGAAATTTAAACTGATAAGTTATGCTCGCTCGCGATTGAAGTCTTTATATAATCCCTTTTATTGTTTTATTAATTTAATTAACACT